AGGTGCAGACTACCTGATTCAACCCAAATAGTTATCATAACCAAATGGCTGGATACATAATGTGGCTCTGATTATGTCGGATGTATCCATTCTTTGTCTTTCCTTAGATCACGAGCTTTAAAACTAGCTTATACTTTTTTGTTCTACAAATTCATTAATTTTTCTTGAATCATACTTCCTATGCTCAATCTTCTCTACCACAACTGATAATATTAATACTTCTACTACTCTGGAATTTGTTTTGATAACTTCATTTGTTACGGTAAGACATGGCAAATTGAATTTATACATATATATGACATGTTCTACGCTGCTTATGACTGAGTAAATAGCAGCTTTCAGTAGACCATATAATATCATTGTACATTGTAATTTATCGATCAGCATTTTGTATGATCATTTGAACAAATCGATTGTGTTCATTACAAATCTGAAAACTATCTTTCCTAAAAATTATGTTAGTTTTTTCCGTTCCGATTGATGTAGTTGATGAAAGCCAGTAGAAAAATCCCTTCACATTATCAGTAAATAAGTCATTCAGTCAGTCAGCTACAACGTAGGACCAGGCACATATATGCATCGGTCCAAGTTGCCATACCTCATTAACACAACAAGATGAACACCGGATTCATAAAAGTAGTTAATTCAGAGGTGGTAATATATAAAAAAGTAAATAAAACAAAAATGATTAACTTAAATTTGTAATCTAATTTGCAAATAATTATTTGAGTCTTTTAGAAAGACAACTAACTAAATACTTATTATACTTTTAGAAGAATATTTGGTGTTTAAACTTGAATACACGAAATGAAAAACAATATTTGACATATTACTGGAAAGTTGAGGGTAGTAGCCAGCAGTAAAATCAAGGATGTATGTTCCGTCAGATGGACGTAACTATACTTTAGTGTTGATGTACTTATCGGGACTCACTTCATACTCGCAACAGATCTATAGGAATTTGAATCACACTTCTGTTTCTCAGTTAAAAACAGTCGGTAAATGAGAGATTGGACGCAGCTTAGAGAGGCTAGTAGTAGCGTTTATTACTGCAGCATTATGTGATCCACGTTTGAATTCTTTATAGAGCATCAGTTCCCTCAAGATTCGAAATGCCCCATGTTGACTATTAGTGTTATCTAACACGAAAGCCAGGTTCAAATCTTACTACATCTTACTACCCGAAATGAAACATAATATATTTTGATATTAGAACACTTAGACTGGGCGGTGGCCTGTGCTGCATTGGGAGTAACAGGCGTAAGTAAGTAAGTAAGACTGGTAATTACATCGAAACTCTGTCAACAGGATTCTATCAGTAACAAGAATTAGACAAAGATTGCTACTCATTGATCACTTAGTATAAATAGAAATTCAAAGGCAATTGTCAGTCGGTTGATATGTCCGGTTGTTTTAAGAGGTTAAATACTTTTCAAACCAATTTAAACATATGCTTTATTTCTTACTAATATACTTGATGATGTATACATTCTATGAATGTCTTAATATTGTTTTGTTTTGCCATCAATGTCTTCCAATGTTTAAAAAAGATTTGTATTACTTTCAAATTATAGTACCAGGTGTTAACTTAGCATCTCCTCGTTTCGGTTGTTCACTAATTGCTGGTGAAAATGGAACATATCCACATTTTTTTGTTGAACATTCTCTTGATTCGGATGAATTGAATGTAAATAAATTGGATATTGAATCTTTGAAGATAAGTGAGGATGTTAGTTCCAATATAGACTATTCCGAGAGAAATGTTATTCCCGGTGATGCTAACGATGACAGTGACATTATTGAAGATGATGATACAGACGAAGAACAGGACGAGATTGACTGTAGATCTCATCATTTCCAACAACAAAATAATGATCAAACTCAGGCACCAACTATGGACATGATGTCTGATATCTCAGGTATTCTACTTACATTTTCGCTCATTAATAGTTGAGATTTTTTATTATAATGGTAGTAACAATACTGGTAGTAATGACAATAATAATTGGTGTCTAACATTTTTCAAACGCTGCTAAAAATTCCTTTTATTTATCTTTATTCATGATTACTTCCTCTGCTACGTTCCTTCTTTGTGGTTGAACTATTACTGCTCTTTTAACCAGTAGATCACAATCCCTAAACCTATTCCATCTCGTTTAGGGCAGCTAGGTAATATTGTGGTTCATGCTATTTACACGGACAGGTATAAGTGTGTATCGGGCATGATAAGTAGAAGAGGAAAATGACGAGAAGAGAGAAAGCTGAAATCAATCAAAGTAACAAGAGGAATGAAAGAACGATGAGGATTGTAAGAGACATTTCAAAGATGTGCAGATGAGTTATTTAATGTATCATTTTCATATTCTACCAAGCCACTTTGTGATTTTTCACTAAACTATGAATTGGTTTTCCCCACCAAGTCTTCATTTACTATAATATTATTAGTCCTCATGACCATCATATCTTCAGATCACCACCTATCTTGTGGTTGCCAAGATAAAATTGAAGATAAAGAAATACTAGACAACTGGATCAACAGCATTTATAAGTTTCAATACCGCCTTCCTTCGACGTACTTACAAGCCCGACAAATTTAAGATAGCTCTTAACAACAGGTTTCAAGAACTACAATATCCATTCAAAGAAGATAAAACAACTATGGAAGACAATTGGAGAGGGATTGAAGAAGCACCAACGTGAACGTATCAGGAGGTCCTAGGCCTCAAGTACCATCATCATAAGGAATGGATTTCTATGGAAACCCTGAACAATATAAAGAATGGAAGAACAAGACAGCTATTAAGAACAGCTGCAAAAGAACAGAAAAAGTCAAGGCACAAGATGAATCTACTGAAGCAAACAAGCAAATGAGGAAGAGAATTTGAGCTGACAGGCAGAATTACTTGGAAGACCTAGCGACGGTAGCGCAAAAAGCTGCAACAGAACAAGACATGAAACAACTACATGACAATGAGGGAACTAGTGGGGAAATATAGTGAATCAGAGAGGCCGTTCAAAGACACAGAAGGCGAGCATATCATTGAGATTTGAGAACAGAGGAACAGATGGCTAGACTACTTTGGGGAACTCTTGAATAGACCATCACCATTGAATCCACTGGAGATCGATGCAGCACCTACAGACATTCCTATAGATGTCGCTCCACAAACAATTGAAGGAATCTGATGGACACCAGACAGAGTGGGAAAGCGGTAGGACCTGACAATATACCAGCCGAGGCACTAAAGTCAGACTTAAAAACAACTGCAACATGCTCCGCATTCTATTCAGGAGGTTTCGGGAGGAAGAACAAGTACCGATAGATTGAGAAGAAAGATAACAAAGAAAGGAGAAATGAGCAATTGTAAGAACCACAGAAGCATCACAGTACTAACAGTACCGGGAAATTTTTTCAACAGAGTGCTGTTGAACTTAATGGGACATTTGGTAAACGCCCAACTCCGAGATCAACAAACAGGATTACGTGAGAATCGATTGTATATCGCCCAAACCGCGACACTACGGATCATTGTTGAGAAATCAATTGAATGCAACTCGTCACCATACATCAACTTCATTTGCTATGAGAAAGCGTTTGACAGTGTGGATAGGAGGACTTTATGAAACCTCCTTCGACACAATGGAGTTAGTAGCTGATTAGATCGTCAACATCATACGGAATGTATACGACGGAGTACACTGCAAAGTCATGCATGGAGGACATCTGACAGGTGCATTGCAAGTGTCAGCCGGTGTCATGCAACGTTGCTTACTCTCATCTTTCCTCTTTCTTCTTGTGGTTGACTGGATTATGAAGACCTCGAGATCTGAGGATGAAGACCACTAGTGTAGCAGCAGTCTCTACATCAGTAGGCCTCAACATACACAATTGAAAAATCAACACCATCAGATACAACGTCATAAAGATTAGTACTACTTATCTACTTAAGCCCATTACCCCTTCGTGAGGCATAGGCCGCCCACCAGGAATCTCCGAGAATTTCTGTCTTAGGCTATCCTTTTCTCCTGTTCCTTGGTATTCATGGTCTTGCTTTCTTCCTCGATATGTAAAGGCTTCCACTTCTTTTAGAGTTTTGCCATCAACGGTGATTTGGGTTGCTGTTTATTGTGCTGCATTTCCGGCTCTTGCTTATTCCTTGCAAATGTTGAGGCTTTTTTTGGGATGTAAGGTTCTTCATAATACAGTCAGCAGATAGCAGAAAAAAGTAGGTGATAGTTGACAACCTTGTCTGACGTTAGACCTCATTTGGAATAAGTCTGTGAGTTGCCCCTTATTCATGATTTTAAAATCCCGTCCGTCGTAGGAGTTAGTGACGATGTCTTCTGATACTCCATAATGTCGAAGAACATCCCACAAAGTTTTTCTATCCATGCTGTCTGATTCTTTCTCATGATTTTGCGTTAGTCATCCAAACAATTTAAAGAGTATTAACAGTCATTCTAGAGAAAAACCAATTACAATTGATATACAGTTGATGAACCGGTCATTTTTATGCTTATATGTACTAAAGTTTATGTTGTTACTGTTGAGTCGATTACTTGAATGTGAACCTATAATAAATATTGTTTGTTGTCGAACCACTTAGTTTATATATATTCATGTGTGAACATTTCGAGAAGCTAAGATGGTCGTTCAATGTATTCGACTTAGGGTACACTGTTCCAGTTACTATAACCTAATCATCATATCCTGTAATTTAAAAAGCTATAAAAACATTTTAACAAACCATTATTCAATTTGCGAAAATCCAAGAGTTATTATTATTTATTTATTTGAACACATAAATATTGGTACAAGAGAGCGCCAATATATATGCGCCACACAAAACAATGAAAATTCGAAGAGAAATAGAAAGAGAAAGAAAAAAAAACTAAGGAACGCAAAAGAAAAAGAGAACAATGACGAAGAGATTGGAGTAAGGTAGTGTGGTAGTAACGACGGAACGAAAAGGTACAATCAGAAGAAATCTTTCAGGTAAAGGAGACACAACCACTTTTTATGAAGAAAGTAAAAGAAGGTTACAGCAGGATCGCCACTGGCTTCTATTCTGAGCCATATCTGATAACGTCTCTAGCCACTGTGTAGCACCATCTCTCGGACCCCAACCAGGGAGTCGTGAAGGACCAACACAAGCCAGTCCTTTGCAGCTTTCTTTCATGCCACGACACCATGTCATGCACTGACCACCTCTCCGCTTCTTCCAACCAGTCCCAGAGTCGGCAAATAATGCACGACGTGGAATTCTCTGGGACGACATTCGGAGAACATGTCCAAGCCACCGAAGTCGGTGTTTCAAGATGGTGACACCAATTGAGTTATCATCTCTGTGCCCGAACACACGATGCCGAACCTCTGCATTACTGACATGGTGTTGCCACTGAATGTCAGCAATCCTTCGGAGACAGCGATGATCGAACACAGAGAGTCGTCTAACGTCCTCAACTCGGAGAGGCCAGGTTTCACAAGCATAGAGCAAAACTGCTCTCACCGACGCGTTGTAGATCCGACCTTTTACAGCCAGACTAACATCACGAAGGCGCCAAAGGTGGCCCAGATTGGCATAAGCCGCTCTGGCTTTCACTATTCGTGCATTGATCTCATCACTCACACCCCCACCAGCACTTATGCAGCTACCCAGATACACGAACTTCTCAACTACGTCTATCTGCTCACCGTCCAGGGTGAGTACAGGATTAGAATCCTGCCAGTCTTGTAGAAGTACTTTGCACTTCGAAGGTGCAAAGCACATACCATACCTACGGACACTGATTGCCAACTGATTAAGTGCGGATTGCATGCCTTGGGCATTATCGCACAGTAAGACAATATCGTCCGCATACTCAAGGTCGAGAAGTCTTTCTCCAGGCAACAGATCCACACCACCATTACTTACATTCATCAGAGCTGTTTCCAGAATGTCATCGATGGCAAAGTTGAAGAGGAATGGTGAGATTGGGCAACCCTGCCTAACCCCACTGCTCGAATGGAACAATGGAGAGAGGTGGTTGTATGCCCTCACTCTGCCTGAGGTGTTTTTATATAGGGCTTTAAGGATGTTAATAAACTTCTCAGGCACACCCTTCTTCAATAGACAATCCCAGAGAACAGTCCTGTCCAACGAATCGAAGGCAGCCCTGATGTCAAGAAACACTACGATTGTTGGCCTTTGAAAAGTATGGCGGTGTTCTAACATTTGGCGGAGGGTGAAGATATGATCAATACATCCTCGACCAGAACGAAACCCAGCCTGCTCCTCGCGAGTCAATCTTTCTCGGGTTTTGAACAACCTACGAAGAATGACGGAAGCCAATAGCTTGGACGCAATCGGAAGTAAACTTATCCCCCGATAGTTGTTACAAGAACGACGTGAACCCTTTTTAAAGATAGGGACAACTATCGACTCATTCCATGACGTTGGTACACTCTCTAGTTCCCAAACCTTTGTAAACAACGTCGTCAATTCCTTAGTCAAAAAGTCACCACCATCTTTAAAAAGAGCCGGAGGTAAGTCATCTGGGCCAGGTGATTTGTAACGCTTCAAGAGTTGGAGTTCCTTGCGGACTTCCTCCTCATTTGGTGGATCAGTCGTCACCGGCCATGGAGGGCAGGACAGTCTGACCGATGTTGCCGGAGCAGCAGGCCAGTTGAACTGCCCTTCGAAAAATTCTGCCCATCGTCCAAGACGTCGATGGATGTTAGTGATTGGCATCCCATCATCCTCGCAGATTGTTTCACTCACACCAGACTTCTTGCTGCCAGTGGCTCGGATGAGCTGGAAGAGCTTCCGGTAGTTACCAGATGCAGCTGCTGCTTCCAGCTCATTAGCACGCATCGACCACCAGGCTTCTCGGTCCTTACGCAAGCTTTGCCCAATTTCCTTACGTAACATCCTTCGTTTATGGTCAAACTCACGGTCACCCGGAGTAGACCGACGGGCTTCAATGAGTTGTAAGGAACCAGAAGAAACCCAGTGCTTAAAAGCGGGACGTTTCGCAAACCCACAACTGACTGTTCCCGCCATTTTCATGGCGTCATGCAATTGCAACCAATGCTCATCTATACTTTTCGGTGGAGTGGTAGCTAGCCTAGAGGCTAGCTCGGTTCGATACTTACTTGCAACAGAAGTTGCAACCAGCTTGCTAACATCAATCCGTTGATGGCGTTCACTTCGTTGTCCACTGAAAAGTAAGGCAAGATTGGCGCAGACCAAGGCATGGTCAGAGTCCAGATAGGTACTCCAAAAGGAGCGGCAGTCTTTTACACAACCACGCCAGCGGTAGCTGATCGCGATGTGATCAATCTGAGTCCAGGCTTGAGATGCAGAGGGAGGACGCCAGGTGGCACATCGGCGATGACTGTGCCGAAAGTTAGTGCTAGCCAGAAACAGGTTGTGGTCTGTGCAAAGTTGCAGTAGACGGTCCCCGTTATCTGACCTGCGACCAACGAGTCCCCATCGGCCACCTAAACGACTCTCTTCTGTGCCTAGACGCCCGACCTGAGCATTCAAGTCTCCGGCTAGTACTACAATATCTGTCGAACGCACTTTCTGGAGAAGAACTGATAACTGGTGGTAAAACTCATCCTTGATTGCATCCGGGCTGCAATCTGTCGGGGCATAGGCGGAGATGACGAAAAGACATCGTTTCTCACGCCGATTTCTTCTCACTTTGATGGAACTTTCTAATCTAACAGCACATAACCGACTGTTAATGGGGATCCAATCGACTAGTGCTGCCTCAGCTCTAGCGCTTAGTGCGACACCAACGCCAGCAAGACCAGACGAAGATGCCACAGGGTCCCCGGATAAGCGCACGTAAAACAAGCTTTTCGAAGCGACAGATGGAGATCGAATTTGTAGTACTTCGCCAGAGTCTTGAATACGGGTCTCGGATAGACAACACACGTCGATATTAAGACTTTCCAAAGACATAGCCAGCCCTATCTGTTGTCCGACCTGCATAAATGTGCGAACGTTGAAGGCAGCCAGTTTGAATGGTGCACGTGGTTTCAGAAAATCTGCTTCAGTCCTCGTATTCGGTGGTAACATACAATTTTCAACCGGACAGTGACTCGAGAACGTTTAGATACAGTCGGATTTCCACCAAAGACGAGCCGCTGTATAAGTATAAAAGAGGGTGAATAATGTGGAAAATAATAATAATAATGATAATAATAACAATAATGACAATAATAGTAGTAATAATAATATTAGTATTAATAATGACAATAATTGTAATGATAATAATCTGAATCAATTGTTTGTTTTTCAAAGCGAGAAAGATAATTTCCATAGGCATAAAGAGTTCATCAATTTGTGTGTGGGCTGTGATACTGCCCGGGTGCCCAAACCGAAGCAGGTGGTTATCTTAGGGGGCCACTCCCCGAGCCTTTGACCTAAAGGTCTAACCCACAAGGCAGTGGAGCATCGTAAGGAGATGCAGTCCCATGGTAGCCGGTGACCAACGATTGGTTCATACGCCATTCGTTCCCGCAGGATACTGGAGCCCATGTGCACCATTGATTTGGAATCCGGTTAAAGCGCCGGACATTCGCTTTTCGTCCTCTCATTTTCGTAGACAACACCCCCGCCACGAGAAGGCAATGAGTAGGACTTCCCTGGCAGAGGCTGTATACGCGTGGCCGTGTGAGAGTATTTCGAGAGGGAGAGCGGACTCTCCCCACTCTCGGCCGTACCAGGGCATTCAGGGGGCCCAAGAGTTATTACAGATTGTTGTTAAATCTCTAGATGTGCATAGATAAAAATCCCAATGATAAGTGAAGTTCAGTCGTGTTGTATGTGAAACAATTGCCCTTAAATGGTTAGACTTTCTCCGTGTAACCTGAAAGTTCTAAGTTCAACCCATGTTAGTGTCTTGGATGCGTGCTTCTGCTAGCATGAAACTGCTGTGCAGTGCTTTCTGGCTCTTAATAGCTGTCTAATTACAATCACCCAGTAATGTAAACTATCAAATTTAACAATTTTCACAATATCCCTGCAGTAATACAATTATCCTTGTTACACAGTTTAATCTAACTAATTTTCTTTTACTAATTGTGACTTCTGCTACATTACTTAACAGTTTCATCACAAGTGTTAAGCTGCTTTGGTTTCTCGTTTCAATTGTATTTTAGTCATAAGTCTGTATTCCACTTGGTCTTGTATACTTAGTATTACAATGACCAGCATTCAGTTAGCTTTATTTATTATCAATTCTAGACATCTTTTGACCATCTCCATAATTGATTTAAACTCCTATTAATGTATATGCTTATCTTTAAGCGTTTTAAACTTATATATGATTTTGTAAATTTATTTTTCAGGTCATTTACTCAGTCTCCATCATGATCATGTTCAATTACCTCGAAGTTCTTTACCAGAAAGCGTAGTTTGGGGCATAAATCATACAGTTAACAATAATTCTTGGAGTTCTTTACATTATCCAGATAATAATCAAGTATGGTCATCTAATGCTCAAGATCACATTCAACATAATGGTTTAAATGTTACTCCATTTGACGGAACTAGCATTTTAAATACTCCAACAACGCCACGTACTACTAATTGTGTGAATGATAATAAACCAGCCCGTTGGATTCAACCATCTACAAGACAACGTGTTAGTCAGCATAAACCACCACCACCGCATTCAGAATATGATGTAGTGCGTCATTCGTTGAATGATCCCAATGCTAATATTATCATTCGCTTGGGTAAACCTAGTATTGTGAATACTATACGCATGCAATTATGGGATCAAGATTTACGGTAAATTAGTTTCAGTTCGTCATATGTACCATATAGAGTTTTTAAAGTGATGTATAATTAAATTTTTTTGACTCTCTTTTTATTGGAATACTTTTCTCGATTAGAAAATACGTATGTGAAGTGATAATGGTGTTTATCTTAAGAACCTATCTGGTTAATGGCATGACGAGGAAAACTAATCTCTTGAATTGTTTTTGGTTTCCTTCAGGTCAGGCTGTAATTGCAGGAATAAAGTTGATTAATTCTCCTAGACTGTCCATCCTAGTACTAACAATCTTCGGTTATACAGTGACATGACTATGATGAGATAACAACAGAGAATAAAACTTAACGACTATTGGTCCAGAATGCAGTACTCTCATACTCGATCATTCATTTTTCTATATTATAGCTTATGTTAAGATGATAGCGATGGTTGACTGTCTATTTTGAAGTAAATAGATGTCTTAAAAAGAGCAGCCCTCAATTTCCTAATTCATTGTCTAGTTTATAATGTAGTAGGGTTAGGGTTATTTCAAACTAACAAAATTTGTTTATTTCAGTTGGTATTTGAAATTTTTTACTTTATTAAATTTGTCCTTGTTCTGATACATAATTTCTGGTTAGCGTTTTTTAGCGAGTTAGTTTTCCACCGGGGGGTCGCTAACCCTATGCTCAACCCTCCTCCTTTATCCGGGCTTGAGACCGGAAGTAGCCCCAGAAGGGTTCCAGGCGAAGTTTCTGATAAATACTGCAGAAGTTTTAATTGTGATGGTGTCTAAAATGTCTCCCAATACTTATTCATAAAATTCTACTGATTGTAAATACTTTCAGTTTCAGTAGAAGCTAAAAAGAAGGCCTTTAGCAATTCTTAATGGCATATTTATGCCAAAATATTTTAATTTTATGCAAATGTTGATGAAACCACGCAAACTATATGACAAACAAATCTTTCTAATCTTATTGATTGTTTTGAAAATCTTTATACATTTTCTCCCTGTTAATTATCCATTTTTATTCATACACATTTATGCTTGTTAGTATTCATGTATCCATATTATTTAAATAGATTAGTATCTGACCATAAACAATTGAATCACTTCTAATTCAATGGTCGGCTAAATGCGGATTTGCATGTTCGTTTAATGTACACTTTGCTTGTTTAAGTGTAAATAGATACTTAAAATGTACTCATCGTCCATCCAATATATATATATATATATATATATATATATATATATATATATATATATATATATATATATCCCGATCGAAGCTGCTACCTTGACGCGGTGGTCGGGCTTGCCTATCGTGATGACCCAACCGAGCTATATTGGCTGGAACATATGTTCCTGTAGGTTCTACCATGCCAGGCAGGTCGATTGGTGAACGGTAAGACTAAAAGCAGCAACTCAAGGTCTGAGGGCGAAGTCGTACTGCTGACTGTAGAGGGGTGTGACAGCAGTAAGGTGTTTCCTTCGGACAACCAGCATGACAGCGATGCTGCCTTCCCACAAGGAGGGGTGGGGTTAGAAAAGGTCGACCCTAAAAATGTCACACCTCACCTTACCTCACGGATTTCCGTCTCCGGCGGTAAGGCCCTTTGAAGAACGGAGCTAACACGTCAAAAACCTTCCACAAAAAGGCCGTGCGCGACCGGCCTCAAGCAGTTGTCCCTTGGGCTCTGCGGTCACGCTCCCAGGTCGTCAAGACCAACACTAATCCAATTTCCTTTTCAGGTTCCTCAAGAAATACCCTTCCACGGTGTGGGCAGCCGGGAAGTGACATCAGCCCTCATACCCGTAACAGCACAAGAGACCAAGGTGGTCACATTCAAATCCTTCCTACACCTCCTAATACCTCTCTTATCTCCATGACTAACCCTCCTCACGTCTCTTTATCACCTCGCACCGCTAGGGCAAACGATTCGAGTACGTGGAACGCCATTCCTGGTCTCCTGAAACCACGCTCTAAACTACACGTAGGAGCTTTTAACGTACGAACACTTTGCCAAATAGGACAGCAGGCTTCCTTAGCTAAAACTTTAGAATCTCGCGCCATCGATGTGTGCTGCGTCTCCGAAACGCGCATACAGGATCCGAGTAGCGTCATTCATTTGACCTCACCATGCCAAAATAAAGAACCGACTCGATTTACGCTTCGTGTATCTGGAAGCCCTGATTCTGCTTCCCGTGGCCTCGCCGGCGTAGGTATAGCATTGAGTCCTAGGGCAGAACTAGCTCTCTTAGAGTGGATCCCAGTAGACAGTCGTTTGTGCGCTGTCCGACTGAACGGAACAGTAAGAATCCGGAAAGATAGGGACACTCGTCGTTGCCTCTTCGTCGTCTCTGCCTATTCTCCCACTGACTGCAGCTCAGATGATGTAAAAGATGAGTTTTACAGAAAGCTTTCGGACCTTCTCCGAAAAGCTAAGCGCTCGGATGTAGTAATAGTGGCCGGTGACTTTAATGCTCAAGTAGGTAAACTAAGCGATAGGGAAAGACACCTAGGTGGATCTTATGGTGTCGTGGCTCAAAGAACAGATAATGGCGACCGTCTGTTGCAGCTATGCTCAGATAACCGCCTGTTCCTTGCAAATACTAACTTTAAGCATAAGGAAAAACATCTTTTAACATGGCGACCCCCTAATTCGTCCCAACGTTGGACCCAAATAGATCACATCGCTATCAGCCACCGATGGAGGGGCTCGATAGAAGACTGTCGCTCATTCTGGAGCACATGCCTAGATTCAGATCATGCTCTAGTGCGAGCGCGTATTTGCTTGCGTCTTACTGGACGTAGGAAAGACGCTGCAAGGAAACCTCTTAGGGCCTACTTAATGATAGTCAAGCTAAGAGTATATTTCAGGAACAACTAGGAAAACAGTTAGGCAGCCATGTATGTGATGCCCACCCCGATGCAGCATGGAATGATATCCGAAAAGCTGTGGAAACAGCAGTGATATCTGCTAGTAAGGTAAACCAGAAGGTTAGGGAGCAACACTGGATCTCAGCAGCATCTATCGCACTGATAGATGCTCGGAAACTCATTCCACCTGGCTCTGAACATAATGAAGAGCGGAGTCAGCTTAAGCGCAAGCTGACAAGAAGTCTACGCAATGATCGCGAACAGTGGTGGGTAGCGAAAGCAAGAGAGATGGAAAAGGCAGCGGCAATAGGTAATAGCAGACAATTGTTCAGACTCGTTAAGGAAACCGGAATTAGGAACCCGACCGTTAGCGAAACAATCTCAGAGAAAGATGGACATATTATTCATTCTCAATCCAGGAGATTGGATCGATGGGCAGAACACTTTAGGGATCAGTTCAACTGGCCTTCAGCCACACTTCGGTTTCCCACGATCTCCAGTCAACCTGAATGGCAAGTTAATGTAGGTCCTCCGTCCCTTTACGAAGTTGAAAAAGCCATAGGAAATCTGAAACGAGGGAGAGCAGCAGGCCCTGACAGGTTTACTCCTGAGATTTTTAAGGATGGTGGTCCAGTATTAGCAATGAGATTAACTGAGGTCTTAGGTAGAATTTGGGAACTGGACGTAATCCCATCTGACTGGTCTCAATCACTGATTGTGCCAGTCTATAAGAAAGGACAAAAGTCCTCTTGTGACAATCACAGAGGAATCAGTTTGACTAATATAGTGTCTAAAATATTAGCTTCAATAATACTTCGACGCCTAATCAAAGCTCGTGAAGAGCAGATTAGAGAAAACCAGGCTGGTTTTCGACCTGGACGTGGTTGTATAGATCAGATATTCACACTACGTCAGGTTCTAGAACACAGACACACATTCAGACGCCCCACAATGGTAGTATTTCTCGACCTTAAGGCGGCATTCGACTCTGTTGATCGTGAGGTTCTATGGCAGTGTTTGTCACTGAAAGGAGTACCAAAGAAGTACATTAACCTTATAAAGGCTCTCTACTCGAACACAACTGGTAGAGTGAGAGCTTATGGCGAACTGTCATCAGAATTGATTACCTCAAGTGGTGTTCGTCAGGGCTGTCCACTCTCCCCATTCTTGTTCAACTTTGTCTGACGTACTTTTAGAGATAACACTCTCCTCATCTAAATTTCCAGGGGTTGAACTTCTACCGGGAGGTTCACTTGTTGACTTAGAATATGCTGATGACATAGTTTTATTTGGTGAAGACGCTGACAAAATGCAGAGTCTTCTGACCACTCTAAGCAACAATGCAAGCATGTTCGGGATGCGATTCTCTCCCTCGAAATGCAAAATGTTGCTTCAGGATTGGGTTACATCGACACCCGAACTAGTGATAGGGAGTGAAGTAGTTGAGTGTGTCGACCGCTTCACTTATCTTGGAAGTCTCATCAGCCCTTGTGGTTTAGTGTGTGACGAAATCTCAGCACGGATACAGAAGGCTCGACTAGCTTTTGCCAACTTGCGTCATTTATGGCGTAGGCGAGATATCCGTCTATCAACCAAAGGACGTGTTTACTGCGCAGCAGTTCGTTCCGTCCTACTTTATGGCAGTGAAACATGGCCGGTAAGAGTAGAGGATATTCGTAGGTTACTAGTATTTGATCATAGGTGTCTTCGAAATATTGCTCGTATATCATGGGACCATCGAGTAAGTAACAGTTGTTAGGAAACGGGTACTAGGTAAGGATGGCAAATCAATTGATGAAGTAGTGAAACTTCATCAGTTGAGATGGCTGGGACACGTGTTACGTATGCCCAACGACCGACTGCCTCGACGTGCTATGTTCAGTGGTATAGGAGTAGGTTGGAAGAAAGCTAGGGGCGGCCAAACCAAAACATGGCACAAGTCCATGAAGTCACTGACAAGTGGACTGAGTCATGTTGGTAGGTGTAGACTACCTGGTTGGGGACCGCGAGATGATAGCAACCGATGGTTAGAGACCCTGAATGACATGGCTCAAAATCGTTTGCAATGGCGCAGGTGCATCCACTCTCTGTGTTCTCCCAAATTCTAATCTTCTGAATCCTTCATGTCCCTTTTTTCCTCTTTCCAAATTTATTTCACTGGATTATACTCTTTAAATAACATCTCCAAACCCTAATCTTCCCGATTACTGCTTATACTCTTGCTACCTCTACCACTACGGGATTTGAATCGACAACTGCATCTCTGTGCTAATGTGGTGTGGCAACTCGAACTGATGTACATACGTACGAAGTTCTACGTTGTTACTGACTGACTGACTGACTGATATATATATATATATATATATATATATATATATATATATATATATATATATATCGTATTTCGGCTTTTCGTAATCGCATTGTTATAAGCAGGATTCGAATCATTTTATTTATTTATTTATTTTAACACATAGATATTGGTACAAGGAGGCACCGAATACATATGCGCCGCATAGATCTCATTTGATATGTGTGACGGCTGTGGTACTGTCCGGGTGCCCAAACCGAAGCGGGTGGTTTTCTTAGGGGCCACACTCGGAGCCTTCAATCTGAAGGTCTGATCCACAAGGCAATGGAGCAACGTAAGGAGATGCAGTCCCATGATAGCTAGCCGGTGACCGATAATTGGTTCATACGCCGTTTGTTCCCTCAGGGTACTGGAGCCCATGTGCACCATTGGTTTGGAATCAGGATTTTCCAACTCCCCTAGGTGGACTCTCTATGTCCACCAACCCGGTTAAAGCGCCGGACATTTGCTTTTTGTCCTCTCAATTTCGTAAACAACAGTAATGCCACGATAAAGCAGTGAATAGGACTTTCCTGGCAGAGGCTATATACGCGTGGCCATATGAGAGCATTTTGAGAGGGAGAGCGGACTCTACCCACTCTCGGCCGTACCAGGGCATTTGGGAGTGGATTCGAATCAAGAAAATGTTTACGTAATTTCTCTTGTGATCATTTATTCTAAGCATCGAATAACAATTGAATCAATCTAGAAGGCTACTGAAATCTCTTTAAAGATTATCTATGATATATTACAATGGATATACTATTGATAGCATATACAGTCGACGAATATTTTTTCAAAATATCTCATCTTAATAAGTTATCCCATTAATTTATTCTTTTATTTTATTTTTATTTTTATTTAGTTCTTATTCATATATTATTGATGTATCATTAGATCAATCCACTTGGCATCGTATTGTTGATTATCAAAATTATATGTGTCGTTCATGGCAAACATTATATTTCCCATCACGTGTTATTCATTTTATTCGTATTACAGGAACAAGAAATACATTTAATCGAACATTTCATTTAATTACATTTAGATGTTTTTATAGTGAGAAAGTATTTCAACAAATAGATGGATTTATGGTGAATAATTTTTCTTTTCATTTTTTTACGAGTTTTTTATAACATATTTAGCTTCACTATTTTATTATCTTTAAGTAATAGTATGAGGATTTGTGGAGATTGTAGTATTTTTAACGGTTGAATTCACGAGTCAATCTAAGCTAGACCACGATCTAAAACCTGAAAGCTCTGGACGGCTTAGTATGGGGCTCCTTAGAAGTGCGCATCCGCGAATCTCGCGCGCGAGACCCGAATCCATGATCTTCGCTTTCGTGTGTGAATGCTTAACGTCTAGACCACTGAGCCGGTAGCATCGAATGATGTAACTAGTAACTAGCTTCAAGATGGAATTCCTGGAGTTCTAGTGAGAAGTCATGATTAATGGAGTCTAATCCTTAATAACTTACTAACGCCTGTTACTCCTAATGGATCATAGGCCGCTAACCAGCATTCTCCAACCCACTCTGTCCTGGGCTTTCCTTTCTAGTTCTATCCAATTTTTGTTTATTTTTCTCATGTCTGTCTCCATTTCTCAACTTAATGTGTTATTTGGTCTTCCTCTCTTCCTTTGGCCTTGAGGATTCAATGTGAGGGCTTGCCTAGTCTAATCCTTACTAATAATGAAATGAATGTCACAAACATTTAACGATTTAGTAGCTGTCTGTCTGGACTCAGTAACTCAGTAGGTAATTCATTTCGTTTTGAACTGAAAGGCACTAAACTCGTATCCTAATACGAATATCGACACTGGAATGGAGGTATATTCAGCCAATGAATCCCAAATAAGACGAGAAGCGCATCTTGGATTTCACCGCCAGTAACATCTATTCTGTTAAACAATTTGATGTAAATTTTGACCAAAGCATTTTCTCTTGGCACCGGAAGGATTTTACCACTGATGATTTCCTACCAAATATCTCGGATTCTACCTCCTATTGCGGAGTCGTGGATGCGCACTGCTGCGGAGTCCAATACTAGGACTAAACGGCCATCCGGTGCTTTCATGCTTTTAATAGCTGTCTTAGATCGGTTCGTAATTTTAGTCAAAGTCAACACTCTACAACCATATACTGATATATCTAGTATCATAATCAATAATATGCTAAGTTATATTTGCATTGTCCCTCTCTCCTCTAGGTTCCTACATTTAATGTTGCAAATGTCGATCATGGTGCTACTGTTCTAGAAGGTGTCAGCCGAAACAGGAATGCACTAATTGACGGTAATATTCGAATGTACGATTGGAATTCTGGTTATACATGTCATCAATTAGGCAATGGTGCTATAGTAGTTCAACTAGCTCAGCCATTCTTATTACGTTCAATGAGGTATATTTAACTTGTAAACCTTCTGTTGTCATGTTTGTTTGAGATTTTTTCTTCCTCAGTATTATTGTCTGAATCGTTCATGTCACTGTGTTATAAAATTTACTCGTTTTATTATTTAAACTTATACCAACTTTAAAGTTATTCATCATTTGAAGAAGCAACTTACATGACGTCACAAATGCTGGATAATTCATTTCTATTCATATTTTTCATTACACATAGTAAATGACGATGGGTTATGTTTTTTTCTGACGTCATACTTCAGCAAAGATACGAAAGCCTGCTAGTATTCAAGATAATTCCGAAGATATGGTATCATCTCATAGAGTCATTGACTATGTTGAGATTAGGTAGTGGTTGGAGGTAGTCAACAGGAAACGCTGAACTTAGGTTTCGTGCTACTTGGCACTCGTCAGCAAGGTGTACCTGTATTCTTGAGAGAGCTGAAATGTATTTACAACTGATTGATCACTGAGTCCAGGGTTTCCTGTTGACTAGCTCCAACCACCATCTGATCTCAACATAGTGCACGCAATGTTGAGTCACCTAGAATGGTGGCCATATTGCAACTTAGTCGATAAGATTCGATCTGCACTAAGAAGGACTCGACATACATGACATTGATCACCACCCAGTGATCAATCAATTTTAGTCACTGGCTGTTGGACTGTGAGCCATATAGGTTGCTGAAGGCTACCTGGTTCGTATCCAGGGAACTACTGCAATCTCCACACCAAGACTGTTACAAGTAAAGATTTATTGACCTAAAAACACAACGATGACCCTTGTCGAAAATACACTCATTATATATTGATTGTACACCTATTTAATTATTAATTAGAATGAATCACACAAATGAAAAATACCTAGAGTTGTAACAAACCACATACTGCGTGTCATGCTGAGCATAGTTCATGTTAATTTAATATAAGAATATTATATCTTAATAAATAGCACATTCAAATAAATTAATATTATACCTAATAAGATATCACTATGGGAAACAAAACAAATATTACGCTGAATAACAACTTCACTTATCTTGGAAGTCTAATCTGCCTTAATGTGGCAGACCCTACGTTGTATATGACTAACTGACTGGTCTCTAATAATTCTACATAAACCCACACGCCTAAGGATAATGATCACTCGCTTCATGGACTGAATTAAATTCTTGGTTTCGCTCAAATCATCATTCTTTCAGTTTGCATCAGGGTTGCTCTTTGGGATAGGAGATTCCCTCCCTCAACCACCCCAGGTTCAGCTTCCACTTTCAAGTAAAGAAGCATAACTAGAGTCAGATTAGACGGCGAAAATAAAGTATAGTTTAATTATTGTGTTTAAGTGTAAATCTGTTTCCTTTTATCTTATTTTCTTCTGCATAGATTTTTGCTATGGGATTTAGATTCACGTACATACTCTTATTCTGTGTATATATCAAATGACCGTGTCGATTGGAAACTTATACGTGATGCTTCTACAGAGCCATGTCGTTCTTGGCAGATAATTAAATTCCCGTTGCAGTTAGTAACATTCATTCGTGTTGTTGGCTCATACAACACAGCTAATGATGTATGTTGTTCTCTCTTAATTTTTCGATTGTTATATTGTCTGATTTTCGATTCTTCAATGTTATATTCAAGTTTTCGGACGTGAAGTACCTTAATTTCACAATGAAACTGATCAATTAATTTTCTGTCAATGTGTCATATCTTAACACTGACCAATACACGTAGACTACCTTAGGCAGCTAATACTCAACAAGCACTAGAAAACTAGTACTTTATGCTTGACTTTTGGCCCCTTGACTAACTAACCCAAATAAACAGAAAGGACACAAGGTCAAGGATCACCAGTCAAACATTCATTTATATACATGCATGACCAGATCATTCGGCAGACCAACTAAGTAAAAGTATTAACACGGAACAACAACATTAATAATGGGAAAAACGGAGTATTGTATACACAGAATCAGTTCTAGTTTATGAGCAGAAAATGCCATGGCAACAATTTACCGTTCAAATAAAAGCTTAGAACTAGGGCGGTATGAAAACAAATAAATCAAAATACTTAAAAAAACTTGTGATTAATATACATATATAACCTTGCAAACATATCTTTGGAAGTTTCTACTTCATAGTTAACTCGTCTCTCATAAGACAATGAAATTAATTGGTCACTTGAACCTACACCTTTGTCATACAAATGAAAGCTTGTCAATAAGTGATATAAATAATTAAATACGTTAGCAATTCGACTATTATATTCAATGCCATTCCATAAGGTTTGCGAAGCTATTTAGTAACTATATAACCACGGGTTTGGTGTTCAATGGTTTAGGAGTAGGTTGGAAGAAAGTTAGGGGCGGCCAGACCAAAACATGGAATTCTCAGGAAAGCATCGCTAAGTATGCAGACACATTGTTGTGTATGTACTGGGCAGATTAATCTGTTATTTGAGCAAAACTAAAACTACACAGTACGTATGATATTTTAGTTTCCATAACAAGTTACCATCGGTTGATGCGAACCATCGAAAACCAGTGAGTTCTGAACGGAAACTGCTTCATTTCAGGCTGAGATATTCCTCAATACTATACACCTTATCGTAGGTTTAGAACCTTAATGTTTTGATGTTTTAATAAGCACAAACACTTATCTGCCACACAGTTTACTGGTCTATATTTTAAAGCTTCAACCAGTTAAAGGTATTATGCCATCACCATCTTCCAATGTTATTCGTGAGAATAATGTTCCATTATTATCAAGTATGCCTTCATAGAACTATTTTAATTGTGAATTAACCTAGATTACACTAATCTAAATGAATTAATCAAATATTTTTATTTCATTGCATCAAAATGTTAAGAATTCTTGAAGTAAAATAACGATTATGATTACAATTTCACAAAGGAACTTAGTTTAAGATTTCCATAAATATGAATTAAATGCTATATCGTGTAAATTTGTAAACGGTGTTCATTTACGGTAATACCAACATCGACATAGATAATATTTTATAATATCATAATATGCGTATAATATAATTGTCCTGTAAATGACTTTAGTAATCTTAGTTCACTAAGTATTATGAAATTTGTTCTGTTCTACTTTACGGCTGCGAAACATGACCACTAAGAGTAGAATTTATTCGTAAGCTACTAGTATTTGACCACAGATGCCTTGGAAATATCGCCAGCATCTGATGGGATCATCGGGTAAGTAATAGCGAGGTAAGACTCAGGGTATTAGGGAATGATGGTAAATCAGTTGATGAATTTGTGAATCTTGATCGACTGAGATGGTTGGGCCACGTGTTACGTATGTGCTTGAACACCGATTACCACGACGCACAATGCTGACTTGTATTGTAGACGGTTGGAAGAAAGTTAGGGGAGGGCGGCCAAACGAAAACGTGGCACCAGTGCTTGAAGTGACTAACTTGTAGTCTGATCCATGTTGATAGATGTAGACTACTTGGTTGGGGTCCACGCGACTATCGTAACCAATGGTTGGAGACTGTGTGTGATATAGGTCAGAATCGATGACAATGGCGTAGGTGTATACACTGTTTGTCTTCCCTTAAACGATGAGATTAAAATTATTTCATATGTTTCTTTCTACGAACTAATTCTTTCTTTCTGTACTATATCCTTACACAAATCTTTTACATATTACCACCATTGAAGTAACTACTTCTAGGAATTCGGTATTCATGTTGCTGTGCTAATGAGGTGTGGCAACTTGAACCGATTCACATTTGTGCGTGGTCCCTCGTTGTAGCTGACTGACTGAAGTATTTTGAATACTTTAGTTTAAATTTAGTAACTAGTTCATATAAGTTCATCAACAAAAGTGACTAACAACTAATCTACCGCCTGGAATTTATGAAACAGGAAGTGTTTTATTCCATCAGCATTGATTAACGGGTTTTAAAACGGCTAGAAAGATGGTCGATCAGGCGTTGCGCTTTGGTTGGATAGTCACCCTATCGTTACTATATTTATCGGTTTTCCAGAAAGCTTAAAGACCAAGGCTATATGAAACTTTCAACTTTCGGTTTTCTGTACACGAACTAACCTTGGAATAAAGCTCTTCATATTTCGCGCTTTTTCTGTATTGTTGGAGTGGTTTATGTCGGAGGAGTTTTAGAGAAATATCCCTCATCAAGTCTCCAGGGGCTTAGAAGCTCCAGGAAACTTTAATCTTCTCAGGAACATTTTGAAATACAGAATCACGCGCCATGGTTTTGATAAGGTATTTACTATACTTCTACTATATATACTATAAATCCAGAGTCCAAGTCATGTTACGTATATAAGGTCGGGTGTGTTACTTTAAATACCCACGTTTTTATGTATGTAGATTATACTTGGAGTAAAGCTTTTATTCGCACTTTGTGCATTCTTTCTAGTGTTTGCAGTTGACGTCTTCAATACCACGTCAAGGCAGTTCTACTGTATGGAGCTGAAACTTGAGAACTACAACAACCACCATCAGAAGGTACAAGTATTTATAAATAGCTGCCTACGCAAGATACTCAACATCCACTGGTCGGATACAATCAGCAATAGCCTTCTGTGGGAGAGAACAAAGCAACTTCCAGCTGAAGAAGAAATTAGGAAAAGACGATGGAAATGGATAGGACATACATTACGCAAATCGTCAAAACTGCATCACGAGGCAAGCCCTAACTTGGAACCCTGAAGGGAGCGAAAAAAGAGGAAGGCCAAGAACACATTGCGTCGGATTATAGAAGCAGATATGAAAAGGATGAATTACAACTGGACGGAGCTAGAAAGGATTGCCCAGGACAGGGTTGGATGGAGAATGCTGGTGAGTGGCCTATGCTCCTTCACGAGGAGTAACAGGCGTAAGTAAGTAAGTAAGTAAGTAAGTTTGCCTGTAGAATACACTTTCTACGCCTTACCAAGACTTCTTGATCGAGTTAGCTGAGTCGGGGACAACAGACCAGAATAGCCTAACGAGTCTCTGAATCATTGATCCTTCGTTCCGTTCCGAATAAGCCAAATCAGTAGTAGCATTCAATCTTATCGAACCTAACAGTAACATATGTTAAGTTGAAGTTTAAAAAAGTCTCAACAAAACATATGGAATATTGTGATGAATTACCGTTCTGAAAAGCAGTGACCAGTGGAGTACTAACAGGTCTGTTGTGAGATAGTAACTCACTTATAACAATTGTGGACGGTGACACACGTTCGTGGATTGGTTGAGGTTAGACATGGACACCGTTAGATGCCGGCTAGCTCAATAGTCTAGTGGTTAAGCGTTCGCGTTCGAGATTGATAGGTCCTGGGTAGGAACCTGGCCAAACGAGATCGTGGATGCGCATTGCTGAGAAGTCCCATAGTAGGATGAAACAGCCGTCCAGTGCTTTCAGGTTTTCAATGGTGGTCTAACATCAGTCAGTTCATGATCTCGATCAAGAATATTTTTTTATAACTGTGTTCAATTTATATGAAAAATAGTCATTTCAATCGAATTAAGATACTATTTGTTGATTATTTCTCTTTCTAATCCATTCATTTGAGGGTCTTGGATCATTAATTCGATTTCTCATGATCAATTATCAGTTAATCTTCTTCACTGAACGTCCTTTCGTTTTTCTTTACTCTTTTCATTTTAATTCCTTCGCTTCGTCCCTCTAACCGTCTGCTCAGATCAACGAGTGTACAAAATATATGTATTGGAAAATCTATTCTCGTATTTGACTTATTTAATTCCATTATATTTGCTAACGTGGATCAACTCCATAAACATGTATACGAATAGTGAAAATGTATTTTTCTACAGCAAATATTCATACGACCCAACTGAAGTCAGATCGCTGACCACTAAAGTGGTGAACCCGTCGACAACATCATCCGATCTAATTAACGTCAAAATGAAGAGCCCCACTCAAATTTTTCCTAGGTGTTTTGGATATGAAAAATTGTGTTTATCATGTCATAATAAAACCATTGGTAAAAATCTTAACACTATTTCATAAAGAACTAGAGATTCATATCAAGAAAAATTGTTTTCAATTTGTTTATATCATGAAAGAATCGTTAGTCAAAGATAATTTCATGATTTTTGGAGTTTCAGAGTTTTATTGAGGAGCTGTTACCAGTGGATTTCAACTGTATCAGAGATAAGGCTTTCGTGCCTGTAAGTAACTCTCGTGCTATTGATAGAAGAAACCAGACTAGTAGTGAATACATTTTATTTAGATTTTCGTACAGTCACAGTGAAGTGTGTGATTACCTGTTCAGACAAACAAAGCCTGTCAACATTCAGTATAAGATAATAGGAAATATAACGCCTATACAAAATAAGAAAGTGAATGAAAACTTAAACTCTATCGTTTTGACATATGCTTAGTTGTTTGAGATCAACTCTTAACCAATCAACCTAAGCTGTTACAAGGCGAATATCACTAACTAATTACAGTTACACCATTGGATGAAAATACAAAGATATAAAAGTCTTGTATCTGATCCCTGATGGGGTTGTGAATGTGTTATGTTGTGAAGTCCCATATTAGGACGAAACATATATCCAGCACTACTCTAGTTTCAATGGTTATTCTTTACATAAACTACTAAATTCAGTAATATCCAGATTATCTTAGAATAACAGTAAAAATATTATTGGTTAGATAATAACATTACATAAGTTGGTAAACAGAAAACCATATGAATTTCAAGAGTATATATTCAATCGAATTCTTTTTAAACTCACTAGTGAATAGCATCGTGAGAAAATTCTCGGAGTTCTGGTGAGAAGCTGTGACCAGTGGAGCTAATTCGTGTCAGTTAGAAATAGGTGTCTACCTCAGTACAATAGAAGATGGTCGCGCAATTTCGTGGATTGGTTGAGATTAGACATTAACACCGTTGGATTCTGGCTCAGTGGTCTAGTGGTTAAGCGCTCGCGCACAAGACTGATAGGTCTTGTGTTCGAATATCGCGGGGGGCGGGATCGTGGATGCACACTACTGAGGAGTCCCATACTAGGAAGAAACATCTGTCCAGTGCTTCCAGGTTTTCCATGGTGGTCTAGCTTCAATTGACTCATGATTTCAATCAAAAACTTAACAATCTCCACAACCCCTAAACTGATAATTAAGCAAATATGACGATATATATGACATACAAATAGTATAACTTGTCTACCATTCACTACCATATTTCTATATCTATAGGGTGTAGTAAGATATGAAAAAGAGGAACTAATTAAGGGAGATGTTTTAATCATCTCATGTTTGTTATTAGGATAAATGGTTGACAGTTATGAAACATGAATAAACTATGAATTACGGATGATTACAAAACCATATCTATTATGTGTATTCGCACGAACGCTTAATCTGTGGACCATTGAACCGGCACCTAACGGTGTTAATGTCTGAATTCATCCATTATCTGAGATAGATACCGTTAGTTCTGTGTTCGAGTCCCACGTGCAGGGTTGCGAATGCGCACTGTTGAGGCGTCCTATACTAGGGTGAGACAAACATCCATTACTTCCAGGTTTACATCGAATAATGAATTCAACTATTAACATGTTATTAGTTGTCAATCATCATTCGTTAAATCCACACAAAATCGACAATAATGTAAACACTTCAAAATCGAATAGTTTTAAATATTCAACCATAACCGGAAACTGAAAGAACCATGAAGTAATATACCTTACAAAGAAACAATAATCCTACTCAATTGAACGTGATGTTAAATAATGTTAACAATTGTGTACAAATATCACTTACATTTCACCTGAAAATGTATATTAATAATTCACATGTAACACCGTTGGATGCCGGCTCAGTGGTCTAATGGTTAAGTGCTCGCGCGCGAAGC